AGATATCCTTTCGCCACATGAGGAATTCATGCCAATGCTTCAGACTTAGATGCTTTTTATCTCTGACCTTAGGCTGCAACATCTCTCATAATAGAAGACTGTTTTCTTCCTATCTTTAGAACATCTGCTAAGACCCAGCATTGTCTCAATGTTTGGTCCCTTCAAAGATATGTTAAAACAAGCCATGACTTATGAAGTCTCCAAGTTTTCACCTAATAAACTTGTTTGTTTCCTTAAAAGATTTTATGTATTTACAAATTTCAGAGTAAAATTAATATTTGCTATTGGAAATAACTCAAATATAGCCAAAAGAAAAAAAGAGACATAGTAAAACTAATTACCTGTCTCCAAATAGCCATGCCATCTTGAGCCTTTCAGGGATATTAACAAATACAGTTGAACACTGAATAATACAGGTTTAAACAGTGTGAGTCTACTTATACAAAGATTTTTTTCTTTTGTATAAATATTGTGTAGTACTGTAAACGTGTTTTCTCTTCACTACCACAATCCTTAATATTTTCTCTGTACCTTACTTTACTATAAAAATATAGAACTCAGACCACATAAAAAGAAGGGGATGATTAACTATTAATGCTCTAGGTAAGGTTTCAATAATATGGTATTTCCACGGTAAGGAAGGAATGGTTTTAAGTTTTGGGGACTCAAAAATTACACACAGAGGGGTGTCTGGGTGGCTCAGTCGTTAAGCATCTGCCTTCGGCTCAGGTCATGGTCCCAGGGTCCTGGGATGGAGCCCTCTATCGGGCTCCCTGCTCAGTGGGAAGCCTGCTTCTCCCTCTCCCACTCCCCCTGCTTCTGTTCCCTCTCTCGCTGTGTCTCTCTCTGTCAAATAAATAAATAAAATCTCAAAAAAAAAAAAAATACAGACAGATTTTCATTTCTGGAGGAGGTTGGTGCCCCTCATGCCTGCCCTGTCCAGAGCTAAAATGTGACTGATCTAGGTCATTTAAATTTGGATTTTCCTCTGTAATAAATACTCTGATTTAGAGTCATGTATGAAATGGCACTTATTGATTTCTGTTGTTAATTCTGACTTTATTTAGATTTGCCTTTCTATTGTACATACATAGCCAATTATTTACATCTTTAATATTTTTATCCTTTATAAAGACTCTTTCTGAACTGTATATGAAAAACAAAGGTCATTCATCAGTCATTACACTAAAGTTTCCATCTAGTGTGTTTTACCTTATATTGAGTAAGGGTTCCAGGTAAAGACCGGACCACCATTCCTGACAATTTTAAGTTATTGCCCCAGGACGCATTATCTTATGTTGAATTATGATTATGAATGAAATGCTTTACTGCGTTCCTTACATTATGCACTCCTTGATATTCAGCAAAATCGTAGCTCTGCTTAAAGACTTTGCCACTCCCCACTGTATTTTACATTATATTGGTAAGTTTTGAGTGGCCGTTAAGGTCTTTACCACATTGTTTATATTTGTACTATTTCTTCCCATTATGAAATGTCTGCTGTTGAGCGAGTCTTGAAGAGACTAGTTAAAAGGTTTGTCACACTTACACCTTCTTCAGTCTTCATTTCAGTAAGGATACAATGATATACAAGAAGATTGGAGTTTTCATAAAGCTCCGCATTTATTACTCTAATACTAGTTCTCTAGAAACTAAATTCTCTGAGGTTTATTAGGATTTGACCCTTGACTGACATTTTCCCCAGACTCATTACATGGGTACATTTTGCCTCCTTTATAAACAACTTGGTAATTATGGAAAATAGAGTTCTCATTAAAGGCCTTCTTAAGTTCACAACACATGAAAACTTACTCCAATTAAGTATTACGTGGTAAGTATTCCACAGTGATGTTTGGATAAAGACCCTCCTGTGTTTATCAGATTTAGAGAATGTCCCACAAGCAGGGATTATGTGTTGGTGGGAGAATAAGGAACTTCCCGAAAAGGACTTCTTAAACCAATCACATTTAGAATTTTTACCTTCATTTTAAAATGTCTAACATTCAGAAATACATCAGTGAATGATTAAACCACTCTTAAACTTGAAATGGTTTGAATCAAACTTTCCGCATGGACTAGGTGACCTCCCAAAATATCCAAATGTCCTTCCAGAGAATATGTATGTTGAAAAATGGATTATTAGCACCAGGTTCAAAGATATTGTTCTGCAAATATAAATGTCTTAACGGTGGGGGTTTTCCTTGAATGTGCTCTATGCCTCATCTCTTCTGGTGGGAAGGATTTCTTTATGCTAACTGTCCCACTTGGGTTATACACATCATAACGTCCTTCCTTCCTGCCCTTTACTACCCTCGGCCACCTGACGAGTTACTCGTTAAGTATAAATAGTCAGGACTGCTGCTTCCATGTCTTCCCATGTCACTTTAAAAAGTCAATCTTCTTTCCCCCTCTTTGCCAACAGGCCTTTGGGTATTAGGGAAAGACACAACTAAAAGATACACAGTAAGTTATCACACTCACCATACCCGCATGCATATATGTTAACGTGCTAATGTGCAATCTTAATGCTTATCATCGCACATGAGCAAAATAGAGAAATAGGAAGCACAGGACTGTGCTCCTCCATGGACACAAAAATGGACCGAATTACCCTTTAGAATGTTCCAGAAGCCAGTTAGGAGAACACAGCTCCCCCAGGCAAGTAGGAAGGAAGAAGAGGCACGACGAAGAGACAAGGAGAGTTTGCGACGCTTGCCCACAACCGGGGCTCGCCCTCCCTGACTCTCCACGGCAACACCGTGAGAGAACTCTCACCTCTCCTCAGGAGAGGACAAATGAGCGCCCAGTATGCTCCATGATGTGGCTGTGTGGCTGCTGCCTGAGGGACTTGTTTCTGTCATGTAGGCCACAGGGGCTGAAGGAAGGACAGCTCCCGATGGATGCATTACCTGGCGGCTCAGACGAAGGCTGAGCACTTGTTCAAACCCTGGAGAGACTGAGGAGCTCATTCATGCTGGAGGTCACACTGTCCTGAAATCTACTGTGTTGAAAACTGTCTTCCTATTAAATACACAGGTAACTAAACAATGTTGTGAAAGGTCCCATACAAAAGGAAGCCCGTTATTACAGAATTGTAAAACCAGAGTAAGCCAAAACGTAACCCAAAGAATTCCACATACAAATAGATGAATTCTGGGGTGCCTGGGTGGGTCGGGCTGTTAAGCATTTAACTTGAGCTCAGCTCATGATCTCAGGGTCCTGGGATGGAAGCCAGTGTGGGATCCTTGCTCAGTGGGAGTATGCCTGTCTCGCTCCTTCCCTGCCCCACCCCCCACTTCTCCGTATTTTCTCCCTGACGGACAAAATCTATAGGAAAAAATGAATGCATTTTTAAAAGGAAACCTTTTATGTAACTTTAAACTGTGACTGTGTACCCATGAAAACCAAGCATTTTGAATTATTGGCATGTCTTCATTGACAGTAAAATTACTGTAAAGAATGTGTATTAACGTCTACCATGAAAAGGTCTACCGGAAAATTTTATGAATAAGCACTTAAAAGGCATTGGAAACTGTACTCTTATTAACATATCCCTCCTGTACACAGAATGTAAGGCTATAATCCATTCTTTGGAATCAAGCACCCTGGGGCACCTGCATGGTTCGGTTGGTTTAGCACCTGACTCTGGATTTTGGCTCAGGTCATGATCTCAGGGTTGTGGAATGGAGCCCCTTGAGGGTGCTGACCCTCAGCAAAGAGTCTGCTTGGCATTCTCTCCCTTTCCTTCTACCTCTCCCTCTCTCTCTCTGCCCCTCACCCCACTTGAGCTCGTGCATTCTCTGTCTCATAAATAAATATATATTTAAAAAAAAGAAAAAAATAAGAACAAAGCATCCAAAAAAACCCCCTTCATTTTGAAATAAAGAAATACTACCACAACTGTAAAATATGCCAGCAAGCAATCACTTCGTAAAAAATAAATATTTGCAATTAAATTCAGATATATTCTGAGGAAAGTAGAAGAAAAGCCTAATGGTTAATTTTTCCATGTAAATTAAATTTATAAGCAAAATTTTTTTTAAATATGAGAATTTTACTGATTATCCACTTTACTTTTTATAAGCAAATGCTCATGTCATATCACAACTTCTGATATTAAAAAAAGATGAATGTCATGTATAAGTAATAAGAAAGTGAGAACACACATGGCAAAGCAAGAGGAACTTCATACCATATAAAATTATAAAATTAGTCAATTATTATGAATAAAGTAACAACTAAGACTTTATTACAGGCTACGAATTCTGAATTCTAAATGTTCCCGCTACCCTATGGCACTATTTAGGTAGGAAATCCAGGAAACAAATGGATACATTTAATTATTTCACCATTGAGGAATGGAACACATAGAGTAGAAATTTCTAGTATTATTTAATACAAAGAAAAGTGAACTTTTAAGTGAAATAAAGGATTAGTTTTTCTCATTTTAGGGAGGTGTTTTGTTATCTGATGAAATTGCTGATTCTCAATTTTATATGATTAAGATTAAAGCCACCATGACATTGGAAAGCATAAACCAGAAAACATGTGATATCTGTCTCCAGTGTTCCCAGGGTTTCTGCACCAAACCTAATGTGCATACCACCACCCTGACATACTTCTCCCATGATGAAAAACAGAACTTACAAAGGGTTTAGAAAAGAGATCCTACGAAATAGGGAGATTTCCCCAAGGCCCTCAAAACAATGGAGAAGCTTTTAGATTATGGAGACCCTCCCTCTCCCGAGAAGTCTCCTGGTCTCCATCAATGGATGTGATGGACCATCACTGGAGCTGAAGGAGAATCCCTAGAGAATTTAAGAGCTTGATAATGTTGGAGAGCAGATGTTCTTCTGTGACAAGGGAGAGAAGTTCAACTGTGCTTCTAAAACTAATCTCCATTCAAGGAGAGTTACTTGAATCAGAATTTAAGGTCTGTCTTCCTCCTTCAGACCTGGACCTCCCCTCTGCATGCATCTGCCTCATTCATTCCCACCTACCTGGATGGAAGGCTACTGTTTCCTTTCTCCTCACATCCCAGAGTTGCTTCTCTTGCTCCAAAAAGATGACCAGGTCTGGCTTCCACACAATAAGACCTGTTTATTAGAAAAAATGAATAGGAGTATTGTTGGAGATTTTAATTTTCAATCCACTAGAGGACACTGCAGAATTCTAGAAAATGATTTCCCAAACATGGTTGACCAACAGGCCATTAAACATGCAGGAGAAATTTGAAATTTTCACATCATGACTTCCACTTTCAAATACTACCAATACAATAATAAGAAGTTAAAATTTCAGTTTAAGATGTGGGCAGTACCATTTTTTGACACTCACTATTTACAATTGACACTCATCTACAAAAGTGATATTACCTTAAAGAAGAAGAAGCTAAAGTTACAGGAAACAACATGATGATTTTTCTCTCCATCTACAAACCCCTATTTATTCCCCTCTCTGCCTGGATCTGAATTCCAGTCATTCAAAGAGGAATTTTCCAAGAGACAGTCTTCACAGGAAGGAAGAAAACCCAGAGTGGGGTTTGGAAATCTGGAAGGAGTCTTCCTCACCCAAGAAGAGGAGGTGTCCGTAGTTCTCTAACATCACATCCCTGTACAGTTCCCGCTGAGTGTGGTTCAGGAATCCCCACTCCTCCTGAGAGAATTCTATGGCCACATCCCTGAATGTCAGCAGTCCCTGAAATAAATACCACAGTCACCAAGTGGCCATTGACAGAGTTACGATGCTTCCTAAGATTAAAGTGGGAGTTAATGTCACCAGCTAGACCCAAGACCTGACCCTCCCCGGTTACCTGTTTGCACTCTCTGATCTTTGTCCCACATTTTACTTAACCTCTTTTTGCACCTTATCTTTTACTCCAGGCAAAGACCCCATGGTCTAGTCTCCTGTCCAGGAACAGAAGCCATCCAACTAAAGGTAATGACCGCTCAAATGATGAGATTCGGGCAGCCCAGTCTGAGCCTAATCCCTGACTCACACCTGTGTAGCCGGACCAAAGAGTAAGCCATGGTACTTTTACCTCATTATAATATGAAAATCTCAATCCTAGGAGAAGCACAAACTCACTTACACAACATACAAAGTATGTATGGCAGTGTCTTAAGGTACCTGTCTGACCTTATGCCCAGATCTATACAAGATGATGAAGCCCATCTTTCTGAATTTCCATCTGAACCCTAATATAAGGAAACTGCCCCCCACCCCGGCTCCAGGAGTCTCTGCTTTGGAAGTTATTCCCTGTGACCTCCTTATTGGCTGCAAATCAAGTTTCCTTTGTGTCACAAGCCTACTGATAAAATTTCTATCTGTGACTCTATTCTATTTCAGGATTTTAAGACACTCAAACATGTTAATTGATTCTTTTTTTTTTTTTTTCCTGAAAATACAAAGAAGTAAAAAGAAGGGTCACTCTGTGACCTATGTGTGGAGCAAAAAAAACCTACAAGATGGAGGTCTGACTTAGAACCTCCCATCCCAGAAATCATTATCTCTGCTACACGAGGGTGAGAGTCTTCATTGTCCAGTGCAACCGGACCTGAAGGAGCCTGTGAACTAAGTATTCTTGAGACATTTTGGGTGCATTTTTGGTGCAAAAACCCTGCTTTTATTAAAGCACAGGGACAGGACCCCTGGGCAGAAACATCTACATGGTCCTTGTGAGAAGCCATTGATAAAACAGCTTTAAGTTGGGGGTAGGAATAAAGGAAGTTTCTGCAGGGATTTTCATATGTTAAAGAGGACTTACAGGATCCTGGAGGTCTGGCTATTGTCAAGCTGGTAGCTTTTAGCCTCTAGCAGAGCATTAACATTAAGGCAGTTGGGAATTCCTGATGCAATGTCATACTCTTGCCTGTCTCAAGTATTTTATCAACGGTCTGCAAGCTGAATTTCAGTTTACCTACATTTCTTCTACCTCGGTTCTCAACAGAAACTAGAAGCAGGAGAAACTCAGAAGGAAGAAGTTTCCACATTAAATGGGTTTCTGCATACCACTCAGTAAATCTAAGATTCTTATGAATATTAAGGGGGAAAATATGAACTTTACAGGGGAGAAATCTGTCAGAGAGCACCAACCCAAGTAAAAGAAGGTAGCTTGAGGGCGTCTGCGTGGCTCTGTTAGTTAAGGACATGTGTTCCACTCCGGACGTGACTTCAGGCTCCGGGGATCAAGCCCTGGAATCCAGCTCCTTGCTCAGTGGGGAGTCCGCTCCTCCCTTTACCCCTCCCCTCCTCCCTGCTCCCTGCTCTCTGTCTCTCACTCTCTCTCTCTCAAACAAATAAATAAAATCTTAAAAAAAAGAAAAATAAGGTAACATGAGCTCTAAGGAAACTAACTGATATCAGTGCCTAAAGCACACCAAAGGACCTATTTATTATTCCTGCTATGTTCTTATGGTCATCAAACCTTAAATCAAGAATATAAATTGAAATATGAGAATACAGTACCTTTATATAAAGTTCAATCACACATAGTTTCCAAGTCCTGTAATAGCTATTATAGTTTAAACAGAGTATCTTTTTCACAATCTAAAGAACAGGAATCCGTCCCTCTCCCCTCCCCCCATCCAAAAACTTTCCCAGTGATTTTGAGCCTCATATCCATCATGTATGCATTTTCTGACTCCTGGTCTACAGAACGCTGAAAAAGCATCCAGATGGGACCTAAATGAGAACTGCTCTCCTTGACTGATATCCCAGGACCCGACCCCATCAGCAACAGGAATCCTGAACTCAAAGACTTCCCTGTGAGTCCGTCACAAAGGGAGTATTTTCAGTACTTGCAGGACTTTAATTCAATGTGACAATTGTTGATGGCCTATTGGAAGCCAGGTTGGAGAGAAGGGAGAGAAAGGCTCTGGGATATAAGGAAGAATTGTTCTAAAGACTTAGCCTTGAGTATTGTTTTTGTAAGATTTTAAACATAAAACACAAGCAGAAAGCAGAAATATCAGAACTAGAGGAATCAACATTTGCAATTTCTAAGTGCAAGGAATTTCAGGAGAAAAAGATGATAGCCTCTGACCTCAGACGCCAAGGCTTACCTGAGAACTGGCCATTTCTTCGTCGTTCACCTTGTCCTCTAGATTTCTTTGTCAGAAGAGACTCGTGGAGAAATCACAGCTGCATCAGGAGAAAATGCCTTTAAAGCCACCAACAGAGCGTCTGCACCTCTAAACTGCTCGGCCTGAAGGCAGGACTTTGAAATGCAGAAAAAGGCCCAACTTCCTAGTCCTTTGTGTCAGGAGCCTTTCAGAAACCGTGACCTCCTACGTGGAGACCAATCCCTGACTTTTCCTTCTCGGCTTTCAGGGGGCCTCCCCTCCCACAGACTATCACACATTCAGCTACAGCACAGGAACCGCGTGCTGCACGGACCTCAGCCTCCCAGACTCAGGCAGCGGAGACCCTCTTACCTCTCCTTGAGCCAAAGCCCGCTCTCCACTCATAAAATAACGGAAAGCCCTCGTGCTTAACCCCGGCCTCACTGAGAAGCTCCTGGAACCCGTAATTAACACAACACTGTCGTTTCCATCAGTTGACAGAATCTGAGGAGGAGGGCACCAGCAAGGATCACTCTGGAAACTCCACGCGTGATCCTACTGGGAAGCATTTGGGGAGGTGACCAGGCAGAGCCCAGTAACCAAGGCTGTGGTTGCTAACCAGATTGAAATCGATGCTTTTCCCACCAATCGGAGCTTCCGGAGATTCAGACAGTCTCCCTCTTTCCGCTACACAGAGGGAGGCACCCTTGCGAATGGAGCTTCCTCTTTCCCTAAGTGGAGCGAGTATCTCCTACAAAAGTAAACATACTGGGTTGCAGGGCTTTCCCTTTGTCTGCTGTTTCTTTGAAATAACAAGCGGAGGGGCGCAGGGGCGGCTCAGCAGGCTGAGCATGTGACTCTCGAATTCACCTCAGGTCGTGATCTCAGTGTCATGAGGTCAGCGTCCGCTGAGCAAGGAGCCTGCTTAAGATTCTGTCACTCTGCCTCTGCCCCTCCTCCCCCTGCACCCCCTCCCCGCCCGCGTGCGCATGCTCACTTGCTCTCTCTCCCTCAAAAAAACAAAACCACACACACACACACACACACACACACATCCACCCACCCACCCACCCACCCTCAACCAGCCTAAAATAACCCTTAAACAAAGCGATATATTTTGCGCGGAGAACATGTTCCCCTTCAGTAGGTTAATGGCTGTTTTCATACGAAACTGTAAAACAGGTTTCCAAAATGAATGTACTTTTTACTTTCCCACCGGCAATATAGGAGAATTCCAATTCCTCAATATTTCCACTGAAATTTGGTGTTACACTTTTTCTTTATTTTTGGAGTTCTAGAAAATAACGAGTGGCTTCAAATTTAAAACATGAAGTGATCTTCCTTCAGGTGCCCTGGTGACTCAAACTGAAACTGCTTGAGCGCAGGAAGCTGAACAAAAACCAAATGGCTGCATTAAACCGTAGCAAGCCTGGATAGCTAAAAATAAGAATCCTCCTCCCTCTCTTCCCCAAGTTTCCCTTTCCCCTTGTTAGGCTTTGTTTTCTGTTTTCAGGAATCCAGTACCACTCTGAAAACATGAACAAGGCTGGCAACACAGACACAACTCCTGCTCAAACAGGCGGGAAGCTGCATATTCCTACAAAACCCCAGCCCGCTTCCCCTGGGTGGGCTTGTAGCTCTGAAGGCCTCGATTTCCAGCAGCCTCCTCTGTCCGGCCAAGCTATCAAGCTACTGTCCCTCTTTATCCCCAACTCTATCTTCAAGTTATATTTTGGCTCTGAATCACGGAGCAGGTCTGTTTTTGACGACAGACTGAATGTGTAGGAGAGGAAAACATTTTCCTCATCTGTTCTCAATTCTTTGGCTGGTCTAATAATTAAATTGGTATAAGACAGACTCACAAGAGAAAAAAAAATCTTAGTTATGGGAACCTCAAAAACATAAGGCTCGAAGACAGGGAATTGATGTCTCATGCCGCTGTGACTTAAGAAGGGGTAGGCATTTAAAATTTCAGAAGGTGGTAAGCATAGTCACAAAAAAAAGGAAAGAGCAAATGTTTATCAAACAACAGTTTGCCACACCAGGCAGGCAACTCTTTATAATATAAAAAGTTAAAGTCTGATACTAGCTATATTACTGATAGAGTTCCACCATCTAATTTATTCTTGGTATACAATCAACCTCACAAAAGAAGGAAATCCTTCCATTTGTAGCAACACAATAAACCTAGAGGACCTTTTTTTAAAATTACAGAAGCCAAGCCAATGCCCCTTTGCCCAACTTAGTAGTCTTTAAATTTTAGCACGCACCTTTAGCCCGATTGATAAACCAAACCTTTTTGTATATCTAGAGATTGTACCTTGTTTCCTAGAAAGACTTGGATCGGAACCCTCTTGCACAACCTCTCCTGGGGTACCAATACACAATCTCCAAGCACCTCAGTAATGCCTGTGGCTGCAAGCAAGCGCGAAATGTTACAGATTACCGCACTCCTCTTTTACAGATTACTGGCCTTGAGTTCCTTTTCAACTCTTTGGACCAGGCTGAAACTGTGGAGCTGGTTTTTGGACAAGACTCCACCTTCTTCCCAAGTGGCTGTCCTCCTGAATAAAGCTCATATTCCTTCCCAGTCAAAACTGTGTCTTGAGTATTGGCTTTTTGAGCCACCAGCAGCCAAAAATGGAGTTTGCAGTCACAAAGCTGTTGTGGGATTGTCGACCCCATCCAGTAGGAAAGAATTCTTGAGATGTTTTATGGTTTATTCAAGTAGCCTGGAGAGAGACTCCTGAGCAGAAAGAGTTGCACTTTGGCTACGTGAAGCTTGTGGTTATATGCTTAGTGCTCATGGGGAGGGGATGTGCAGGGAGTATCTTCATAAATCTATCTTCAATTTTCTACTTATAAAACTACTTTTTGGGATGTCTGGGTGATTCAGTCAGTTAAGTGTCTGCCTTCAGCTCAGGTCATGATCCCAGGGTCCTGCGATCGAGTCCCTCATCAGGCTCCTTGCTCAGTGGGGAGTCTCCTTCTTCCTCTGCCTGCAGCTCCCCTTGCTGGTGCTCGCCCTCCTTCTCTCAAGTAAATAAAATCTTGAAAAAAAAACAAACAAAAAACAAACCACCCACTACTTTTGCAAAATTTCTCTGGTTCTTATCATTCAGTTCGATATTAACTATGGGTGAGATGTACAGGCAGTCAGGAGACCCTTTAAGAATGTACCAACCATGGGATGCCTGGGTGGCTTAGTCGTTAAGTGTCTGCCTTCGGCTCAGGTCATGATCCCAGGGACCTGGGATCCAGCCCTGCATCGGGGATCCCTGCTAAGCAGGAAGCCTGCCTCTCCCTCTCCTCCTCTCCCAGTCCCCCTGCTTGTGTTCCCTCTCTTGCGGTGTTTTCTGTCAAATCATAAAATCTTAAAAAAAAAAAAAAAAAAAGAATGTACCAACCAGCACATATTTGATCGTTATCACAACTACGTAGGTCAACCTTCTGGGTTAAAGGGGAACATTTGTCTGTTTCTTTCCCTCATCACTTCACTCCTGACCAATTATTGGTTCTTTAATTGTTCAGGTTGTTGAAAGGTGAAGGGCTCATATTCCGTAACTTCTTCAAAGTAACAGGGGTTGTAGAGATGTCCCTACCCATGCATTGAAATTGGTCCCTATCTGTCCCTACGTGTAACTATTATAGAAGGCCATTATTGTAGAGTTCAGAAGGGACACTGTGGTGAATTAGCTTTGAGTAGTCGGTATGATCTGTTGGCTGGGCAAAAAAGTCAGGAACTGCTCGCATATATCTCAACAATAGGAGAGAACAAAGCAAAAGAGAAAACATGTTAGAATATTATTTTAATAAAAAACCAGAAAAGCAATGAGAGGACCCTTTAGGGTGACCATAGTCTACCTCTCCATGAAAAATTTAATCAATTCTTAAGTGACAGTGGAGAGAGACAGAAAGAGAGAGAAATCAAGAAACAGACTCTTAACTATAAGGAACAAACCAGTAGTTACCAGAGGGAAGGTGGGTGGGGAGAAGGGTTAAAGAGGTTCTTGGAAATGCAGGACTGCCCTTGTTGCGACAACCACTGGATAATGTATGGAATTCTTCAACCACTACATTGTACAGCTGAAACTAACATAACAGCTTGTTAACTGGAATTAAAATCTTAAAAAGTCCAAAACAAAGAAAAAGTGGTGACACTCCATTAAAATACTGACGTCTTTATAATAGCGACAGACAGATGTACAGAATATTAGTTGATGTGACTGAAATGAAGAAACCTCAGATACCCGTAGAGGACAGATAACTCTTCCATAAAAGGGCATCTGATTGTACATCAACGTTTCTTAACAATTACTTCAGACCGGAAAATTATTGAAATTATGACTCCTACGTCATTTTATCAGAACAAGAATGCTTCTTGAATGCTTGTAATCTGTATCTTCAACAAGGACCATACAGTGGATTTGAAATGCATAACTTAGTCTATGTGTGATCCTAAGATATTTTAATGATAGAACATTGGTTTTTAATGTGTTAACGCTGATTGATAATGAATGATGCATTATCCCACCACCAGTATTAACCTAGCTCACCTTAATTAAGAATGTAGACAATAGATAATATCTAGCACCCATTTGATAACTAGTAATTTATTTTCTCAGTAGACTCAGACTTTAAATAATGTGTGGTTTTATTTTCAATAATTTATCTATTGCATTGATTTCTCCCCCTTTGAACTCCTGGGACATTAACATGGATATATTACAGATTATATAGGGGGATGGATGACAGTTGAGGCGAACTCCATGATGGTGCTACTTGGCATCCATGTGGTGTGGTCAGTTGGGTTACAGAGGACTTGAACTAACACCAGCCCTTCTCACTAGCACGTTCTCTAAACAAAGCCCCGTAGAGTCACACATTAATGGAACTTCTGATAGGACACCTCAACCAAAGCACTTGTGAACAAGCACTTCCCCTTATGTACCCTGTAGAGAAGACCCCCCCCCAGAGTTTACCTAAACCTGTTTACACTTCAGTGGCTCGATCTGGACTCACCCAGGAACTCTGAAGCACTCCACC